TTTTTGTTTTAAATAACATAACGGTAAAATAATTATTTAATAAAAAGGCAAACAAAACAAGTTGCAAAAAAATTAGAAAATGAGATGAAAATTAAATTTAGGGTGTGCACCGAATAAAATGAGACGCCAATTATCCTGGCAAACATTGCATAGAAATCTGTTTCTGCTCAGTATTTGTGGGTAAATGTTTGCATGTGTTTGTGTGTGCCATTTAAAAATTTACGCTTTGTGCTTGTTTGAAATTACCAATGCAACCATGTTGACTTTTGAACTTATAGGCATTCCTAAGCGCCCAGAGATATCTGTTCATACATACATAAACTTTTCTTATGTCCTTTGTGGAGTATCTTTTATTTAAACTGACATTTGAGTTAACGCTTTTGAGACTTGCTCGTGGGTTTTGTGGTCTGTTTTCATGTTGTTGTAGGTGAGGGTAGGATGTATTTTTTATTTGCTGTTAGTTTTGACTTTTTCGTGCAAACCTCCCCCATATCCATAAGGGATTTATTCTTGTATTGTCTGTGGAGAAAAATTATTGCTTAAAAGATTTTATTTCACGCAACTACAAACGCATTTACAGATATAGTTTGAATTGTACAGAAAAGAGCAAAGATTTTCGTTTGAAATGTTCCTATCACGCAACATGTGATGCTTAGAAAGGTGTGTGTGTTTGGCAAATAATCTTCGTAGCTTTTAATGTATTGCGGTCTTTCGGTAAAACTAGAGAGAATTATTGCAAATGATTCGCAAAGATGGCACTAAGATTTGGAAAATAGGTGAATTAATGTTGGGGCGCCTTCGAACAAGCACGACATTATAGAAAAACATGTGGTTAAGAGGAGAAAATGTTTTATTATACACAAGAACATATACTATTTGTGCAGAAGGTAGAAGTACAACTATAAAACCCTCAAAGTTTCTGTCAATAGGCTCCGGATTTTTTTGGTCATACCAAGATTAGATTATTCGAAATCGAAAGGGAAGTATAGTGCTAGGACTTCCAGAGGACTTCCAAGCTGCTTACAGAAGTATGTGTAGCTAATTCCTAACGGCCTTTTAATTATTTTATATATTGTTATTTCTTCCTCGAAGCGCCTTTTTGCGAATTTCCCACCTTGGATCTTTCCTCCCTTATCCATCACAACATAAATTTTCGAATGCAAATCAGGGCGTGACATCACGAATTTGCCACTTCTCTTTATTAATATCGGCCATTAAACATAATTAAACACACTCTATTAAGAAAATTAATATTCAAACACACATACACACCTAAGTAAGTAGCGTTATAAGGGTAAGGACGTAATATTGAATATCTCAATACGTGTTTAGACAAAAGTAAAAATATGCATTTGAATGAAAAACAAGACAAACTAAAATTATATAAAGCAGCACCTGGAAGGTCTTGAACCCGCTTGAAATGTTCGGTAGCGAATTTATGCACACGGAACCTACACTCTCGCCTCGCGGTCAATTTATTTACGGTGCGCTCCAATTGTATGTACACTCGAGACTAATACAACAAAAAGAGATAAAATATTTACGAATGATTGGCAACAAATGGAAATATCAAACAAACCACATGAAATTGGGGCAGAGCTGCAAAGAAATTCGGGGAAACTTTAGTATACCATCTCACGCTTTCAGGGTTAGGAGGGATATGGTTGGATAGAGGCGATTCTCCAGATCACGAATATATATAATTACTGCCGCCGGAAACTGAAAGTTTTCGAGATATTTTCATTTTAAGTTGAAAATTTCACAAATTTTATTTTACAATTTCTCGATTTATGGTTAATTTTTATTTTATATAATATTTTGCACTTATTATATACTAACACTCCACTACAATGTTTCTACATATTCATTTTGTATTAATTAATTTAATATTTGTTTTAAATTAATATTTTATTTTTACACAATTTTCGTTATATGCCCAATAACAAAAGAGTTTCATATTGACAGATAATAAGTGTTGCCATATCCAAACGAATGAACGCAAACTATCCTTCTACAAAATTAACTTATCTGCACAATATTTACCAATTCAAGGATAAAACGGACAAAAAAAACAAAACGGTGCCTTGTTTAGTTGTAACAATTTCCGTTATAATTCGTTATATAAAATGAAATTTAAAGGGAGTGATATACCCTCTTTAACATTTTTTTTGTTTAGATTTCTTCTTTGCATTGGCGGCCTTCGGCCGCGCTTCAAAAAAATAACACTTCCCAATCCAATACCACGGTTGATCGAGAGAAGGGAACGATTAAAATTATGGTTCATGTATTTGGTATAATCCTCTATTATTAATTTTAATTCGTTTGCAAAATATGAATATATATGTACATAAAATAGATATGGCAACACCTATTATCTGTTAATATGGAAGCTATTTGTTATTGTGCATATAGAAAAAATTGTGTAAAAATAAAATGTTTATTTAAAGCAAAAATTAAACTAATTAATACAAAATAAATATATAGAAACATTGTAGTGAAGTGTAAGTGTATAATAAGTACATAACATGAAAGAAAAAATAATAGATCGAGAAATTGTAAGATAAAATTTGTGAAATTTTCAACTTAAAATGCAAATATCTCGAAAACTATAATTTAACGGGGGCTATATATTTTCGTGATCTGGAGAATCTCCTCTATCCAACCATACCCCTCTTAAACCTGAAATCGTGGGATGGTATACTAAAGCCGACCCAGAAATTCTCCTAAAAATGTTTCTTTTTTTTTGCAGTAAATTATGGCCATTTCAAGAGAAAAGGTGCTTAAAACAACAGCAACAAAAAGTGAAAGAAATGCGGAATAACTGTGTGTTCAATACCTTGTTTGCCGCAAAACCCCCATGTATGGCAGCTAAGCTTGTAGATACTTATATCGATAATATGCGAGTATGTCACGATGAATGTACTGAGGAAAAGAAACGGAAATTTGTTTAACTTTTCGCTTGATTTGTGTACTTATTTTTGTTGCAGAGCTTAGCTGTGTAGCTTCGGAAAAACGCTCTAGGATATTTTCACACTTGCTGGATATAAATACAGTATATGCATAAAATGCGTAATTACTTTGCGTGCTAGTACGAATCACCTTAAGTTTTCGGTTGCGGCAGTTGAGTTGATTGCGTGTCGTATACTGGCTAAATATTAAAAATTTCACAAATCTTCGTAGGTTTAGGCGTTTCAGAATTGGTTTTCAGCTGTCTCCGTCATAAGATCGCAACATCGTTCATTTTCCGTTGATAAAAGACCCATTTTGTCTTAAATTGTCGAAGAGGATGCTCATAATTATGCTAAAAATTTGCCGAGAAATATTTGTTTCTACTAAAGCATATGTTTATTGGGGTGATCTAAAGTAAACAAGCTCTTGATTTTCAACATAAACCGGGCCTAAATCATATATTTTCTCATGTATATAATATATGAATTTTTTTGATATTTCACATTTAAAAAGTAAGCCAGTAAGTTAAATTATAGTCTACTATAAAGTTTTTCCCCTTTCATGCTTTTTTTTTCATAAATTCACTCCTTTAGAAGTTATACGCAGTTAAATTTATACATCAAGGTTATTAGACTCAGTAACTCCTCAGAGATTGGATCTTATGAGGTTTTTTTTGTTAAATTTCACTTCTATGCAAACCATTTTTAAAGTTACGCACAGGCTATGCATGAAATAGAGAAAATATTTCCTCAACGTCTTGAAAAGCAGAGGTTGAAGGAGTTAAAGTAATGATGTGCTGGAAAACCAACTGTTTCACCTTTTAACATACCATTTAGAGTGAAAAAAAATATTTCCAAAACCGCACAACAAGTTTTTTAAGAATTTAATTAAATCTAGAATTAAAGCTGCTACTAAAGAACATTTATATGAAACTTTTAAAATAAAGTGCGCAAGTACATTTTATTATCAGCAACTACTTGTTCTCAAGTTGCAATGCTAACAAAAACCGAAATAATAATAAGAATTTTTGTGAAACACACTGTGCTTACATGCCCTTACACATAAGTATAAGTTTATATATGTATTATATTATTACGTATAGATGCAATCACAAAAGTGTGAATCGATAAATAAATATTTACAGAAATATACGGAGAAACCAAAAAATTTCATAGCCATGGCAGTGAAAACACAAGGCGAAGTAAATTGAAAGAGCGTTAAGGGCAAGGGAAGAGAGTTTAGCTGTTCTAGAGAAACTCAATTGTGCTTAAAATAATGTGCGATATTTCAAGTGTTATTAAAAGCCCAGAGAGGCACCACAATTGAGATAAGTAATGAACGTGCACTTACACACAATATTATGTATATAAATCGAAGTTGTTAAAAATATTCGATACATTAAAGTTCTTGCAATAGAATTAAGGCCATTTTTATAAATTTTAAGGATTAAGTGACCACAATATACATATAATTTAATGCCAAGGGTTCTTCAGCTAAGCAGTAAAAATAAATTGCGGCTGGTCTAAGTATATTCTGAACTTGTGGAACACTTGTAAAAACTTGGCTACAGCCAATGGCAAATGCAATCAATTTCGAATGCTTTGTCTATTGAATTTGGCTATTTCAGCTCTTTATTGAGAATATCAAGAAAT